CCCAACCCAACCCAACCCAACCCAACCCAACCCAACCCAACCCAACCAACCAACCAACCAACCAACCAACCAACCAAAAAAAAAAGGCAAACAAACAAACAAACCAGGCAAACCAAGCAACCAACCTCCCATCCTCATCCACCGGATCCACTGGTGGCGCGCTTCACCAGGAGCCCTTGGCGCGGCTCCGCCACGAGCGCCCCGAGCAGCTGTCGAAGCTCGTGGCCACGCTCCTGCGCTGGGGCACTTGTGGCCACGCTGCTGCGGGGGAGGGAGGAAGGTGACACAGAGCGGAGAGGTCAGGTCTCCGTTCTTAAAGAGTTACAGAGTTAATCCGCTTCTCAAGAGGTTTAGATTGGTCTTCGAGAGATGGACATGTTTGAGACATGGTTCTAAAGGGAGTTCCAGCTTCTACCTGCTGTATTTTCAGGCGCATTTTCAACTTTGACCAGGTTTAGCAGATCTTTTTCAAGGACATTGAAACTGTCAACTATCAAGTCAATCGATTTGAGATAGCAAGTTTGGAGCTTTCGCGCCTTGGTAGAATGAGACGTATTCTGTGCAAGTGTCTCTGCCCTGCAGGCCCATGGCTCAAGCACAGAGGTGCTCACATGTGATTCTTGGCAGAGCGGCTGGGAACTTATTCATTCAGCTACTCAAACTCAAGTGTGGGTATTATGAAGCCATGGCTGAAACAACTGCTAACCTTCTCAAGTAGAAATAGTCTTGTTGGTATGGTCTTGGCTTACAGAAGAGCACCTCACTGTCTTGACGCATTGCACATCGGTTTTCACAAGTGGAAGTCGTTCGCAACCTTGAACTCCAAGTCGTTCAGATGCACCTTTGTCGTTCGCCCGTCCGCGCATGAGATGTCTTTGCAGTGTGCCGGATGCTCCTGCCACTTCGCCCAAACGCTTCGCCGCTGGGACGAGGAGCAGCTGCAGCGCTACGTGTCTTGGGCTGGCGCCTGGGTCACCGAGAAGATGCCGAATGCGAGAGCCATGGAGCAGTGCTTGTGGCCGGGCTGCACGAGGGCCGATTTGTTTGACGTGCAATTTTGCAAGATCTCCCAAGAATATCTACTGATGAGTTTGCTGTGTAAGGGGTTAACCAAGCACCAATGAGTTGGGTGATAATGGCCATATTTAATGTTATTTTGACTGTTCACCTAGCAAAGAACTAACATCGTGTTTTATGGGTCGAATCTCTTGTTTGAGCTGCTCACCCCAAGGCACCAGCTGCAGACCGGCCGAGTCACCATTTGCCCCTGCCTCATGTCTCAAGATCTGCAGATCTTGGCTGCAGCCCCCCCACGTCCTGTCGCTTCGAATCGCCTCAACGGGCAACGGCTGGACTCGGAGCTTAGTGTTGGTGGGAAGGCTGTGTGCTTGCTACAGAGGGCCATCCAGCACTGGAAGAATCAAACAGCCGAAGGACAAAGAGCCTATGTGGTGCTCTTGGAAGAAGAGTTGCTGCAGATGAAAGGTGCGGGAATTTGATTAGCATTTGTCTGCTCCAAGTCTAGAAAAATGTAGGACTTCGAATTGAAGGCCGAGGTTTTGAAGCCAAAATCACTCTACCAGTGCAGGTTTTACTCTTGTCCTGGCAGTCTTTAGAAGGGCTAGGTACCCATAGGTTACCTCTGCCCACAAAGGCAGTGACGGCAGTGGCTTCTCCACCAAGCAGCTCCGGTCCATCCTCCGTCGTGCGGTGGCGGCCCTGTCGCCACCACGCTTGCGCGCTGCATCGACAGAGGCATCCGAGCGCCATAATGATTGGGTACATGTGGAGCGTGACCTGCTTGCAAGGTTTTTTGCCGGTGGACTTGGGAATTCAGGGACACCGCAAGGTGTTTGTGCAACAATAATGCAAGGTGAGAGCTGCCAAAGCTCACCGACATGATGCCGAGTTGAGAGGGACAACATCCCGTCGGATCTGGTCAGCTGAAGTAGCACTTTGAATGTGGTCTTCCCTTTGAAGCAGGTCTCAGGATGCTTCAAGTTCTATTTGGTCTTTGGTTCTTTGATGTTCCATTTGGATTGTCACTGATCAACCCGAGATCTCGACGATACTTTTAATGCCAGAGCTCGACCACCAAGTAGAAATCCAATGCGCCCGGTGTGCCCTTTCTCTTTTGTGGAGTTCGGGCTGTGCAGTGTAGATTGTCGTCCAGCGGGTTTAACTCCACTACAGCTTGCAATCTCCAAAGACCGAGTTCATGCATTTTGGATGCATCCCATAGAAAAGGTGACGCGCCACATCTAGTACATACATAGTAAGCTTAGAGCTTGTGTTCAAGCTTACGATCACTTCCGACCGTCCTCATCTTGCACCTAGCGATTTGGAAGCACAGCTGAGCGCTTCGGGTGACAGCCACAACGGCGACACCAACAACCGACATGTTGTTGGGACCGTTCGTTGGACTCTGCCGTCCTCTTGTGGCTCGCGGTTGCGGCCATCCTCGAGTGGATTTTTCAACGAAGAGAGAGAGAGAGAGAGAGAGAGAGAGGGAGGGAGAGAGTCCTATGTACAAAGATCCATGGTGCTGCCCAGCCATGTTGCGCACGCCTCTGCCGAACGCTTCAGGGAACAGGAAAGCGCTGGAGTGGAGAGACGCTATGGCGCCATCGGAGCCTTCGACTATCAGATGGATGTCAACACCTGGAGAAGTGCAAGCAAGTCAGAATTCATGTATGTGTCGGGGTGGCAGTTCAACTGATTTTGGAGCCTTTTTTGGGGGGTTGGGACGATAATTCCACCTCCCGTCTTCCATTTCCGTGGTAGGAAGGGGTTCGCCACGAGGTGGAAGTTGGAAGTTTAGTCTCCACCCAAGCGGCCGATGAAGCTGGCGAATCAGCACTGGACGGTTTTGGATTAGAAGATCAAGGGGAGATCCCCAAGGTCAATGGCACGGCATCGGACAAAGTTGCATTTCAGCAGCAGTGTCAGAACTATCACCGGGAGAAGTGGCTCACGCTGAGTCAAATCTTGGATATCATGGAATCATCACGGGACGGCTCCATAGAAGAAACACGTCAGAAGCTGCGTGTTTTGGATGTGGGCACTGGTGATGGGAAGACATTAGCATATTTGCACTCCAGGGGCTACCCCTGGTGCAATCTGCTGCTCTGTTACCCTGGAAAGCTTTGTTTCTTTTGTCTTCTGTTTGGTGCACACAAGCTTGCCTATCCAAGCTTTTCTGTGACATCTCTGATTTCAGGTTGGGCATTTCAGCCGAAGATATGCGAAACCAGAAGCTTTTGGAGGACGAACTTCCCTTTGATCCAGGCTGTCCTGTATCATCCTACTGGGTGGGCAATGTGGAGCAGTTGGTTCGTAGTGAAGAGGGGCTGCAGATGCTGCAAGGCGGAAAATTCGATGCTTCACTTGATGGGAAGATGGGTCTAACATTGGTGGCGTGTTTTTGAGCCTATTCTTGTGAGAAAGGTACTGCTGGACGCCCCGAAGCAAAGGTACCACACTGGTGAGGATGTGATGATGTGGTGGTTTGGGTTTGAGTAGACGGGCATGGTCTTCCTCAAGTAGACCTGAAAGCATTGCTGGTGATTGGTTTCAGCTGTTTCCCCACCTGGATCCGTCAACTGTTTGAGAAGAGCAAGTATTGGTCAATATGATATATGAAGGAATGTCAACAATCATGGAAGAGAGCTGCTGTGTACAGTGTAGTGGTTGGTAAGCCCTCCAAAAGCGTCCACCAGCACCAGCATCATGGGCGAAATGATCCTAAGGACCTGATCGTGAGTTGGGTCACATTTTGTTGGCTGGCAGATCCTGTCGGAACGCTGGCGGCGCTCTACAATTCGTGGCTCGAGCTGGGTGGCTGCATGTTGATCAGCTCCCTTCCATTCTTGCTGGATTCCAAACAGGAGATCCCTGAGAAAGATGAGCCTCACCTGTCCATACCTGTCCGGTCAGCGGGGTGGGAACTTCGAGGTTGTTCTGTGTAGATGACCGGAAGGGGGTTCTGTATCTTCTTTTTTTTTCGGGGGATCCAGTTGGACTGATCCACTCCGCTGAGGACGCTGGTGTGGAATACGTGCCCTCCGAACAACAGGAGCAGCTCTGGTTCATCAGCTGGGTGGAATACTTGCGACAGGAACATGGCATGCAGATCCAAGTGATGCGCGATGGCTTCAATGGGGTCTACTTCTGGTGGTTGCAGTACAAACCTAATGCAGTTCCACTGGTGTTGGAACCGGCTCTGAACTATGGTGACTTGCTGGGTAACAGCACTTGTTATGGCATCTGGTTGGCGATTTCAGTCAGATGCTTTTCCTGTTTCGCTACTTGGAAGGGCAAATCCAACTCAAACTGCAAGAACATTGTGGCAATATTTTTTGGTTTGGTTCTCTACGAACCACGGACCAATCTATGCAATAGAACCATATATATATATATATGACCTAGCCATGCATTTTTCTTATCATTTTTCGCATGAAGCAAGGCATCAATGTGGATCTCTTAGATCCCTATCGCCACCATGCCTTACGGACCTTCCTCCGTCCCGTGGGCCCCTTCGACGTCGACGGATCCGGATCCGCGAGGGCGCCGGCGTTGCTGCTGCCCAGCACCTGTCGTCGAAGCTTTGAAGCACTGGTGCTGGTGTCCTCGGATCGTCAAAAGGCTATGGTACTGCGTGGCGCGGAAGCCGAAGCGGCACAGGGCTTCGTGAGGGGAATCTTGGTGTGAACAAGCAGCTGCTGTGTTATTGTGGTTGGTTGAAGTGACAGATGCGGGATTGACGCAGCGATGACCCCTAGGAGGCAAACATTTTGGATTTTGAGTGGTTTTCACGTGTTTTTTAATCAATCTTGCTTTTGATGCGGTGTGAAGGCACGAAACAAAACTGTTTGGCCAGCGTTTACTATTAGACCTTGTAATTCTTGGGCAAGTCCCCGGTGTTCAGCGAGCATCGCCCCCCACACCTGTGATTTCAGGAAAAGAAGTCGATCTCACAAGCTTCATGGTGTTGGACCACCAGGAAAGGAAATCCTTACGGAGGATGTACGATGACTTGCTGGAGCATCCATGCATTGTAGACCATCCGTGGTTGCAATGGCTCAGCTCACGTGCGCCCGAAGAAAAAGGGCAGACGGGCAGGTTGAGTCGAGTCTCCGGGGATCGTTGCTGGTTTTGGGGGGCCTGTCGTTCGCTCAAAGCGCTGTTTTCGGTGTAGTGGTGGTTGATGCCCTTTGGACGAATAAGGCGGCCGAGCGGTGGTAGGTTGTAGTTGTAGCTGCAAAGGTGAAAGGGTGCCACCGCAGGTGCCGTCTCAGTATTGCGTGAGTTCTGAGTCGCATGTGTGAGTTCTAGATGTCTTTGGCCGGTCCATGCACTCACCGTCACCGCTTACCCGACCTCAAGCACATGAAGCCACAAGCCCTGTTTGCCCCACGGATTTGGGTTGAGTTTTCATTGGGAAACCAAGGCGACATTCAAGTTCGACTTCGGCGCATTGTGATCGAATGCCTGGCCCATCTGGATCAATCTGATGCTAAAGTTGATACCATCCTGCAATATTTGAGGGAGCTGTTGACAAAGCTTGATGTCTGCAATGACCAAGCGATCATGTCCCGCAAACAGTGGTTGCGGTTGCGCTCCTATGTTTGCATCGAACGTGATGATGCTTCTGTTTTAGCTTCGAGCTCCAAAGATTTGAAAGCGCGGAAGCGAGCTCTCAGTGGCCATCCCAAACTGCGCAAGTGTAAACATGGAAAGAGCTATGGCAAGTGCCCCCTTTGCAACGCATGTCCACATGGAAATGCCCGAGAGCTGTGCAAAGTATGCAGTGGTTGTCCTCATGGACGTGCCAAGAACAAGTGCAGGACATGTGTGGGGTGCCCCCATGGCCGCTGGAAGAATGAATGTGCTGAATGCAATGCGTGTCCCCATGGGAGGGCAGGGCCGTCATGTCATATTTGCAACGGTTGCCCCCATGGTCATCGCAAGAGCAATTGCAACCTTTGCAGTGCTTGTCCTCATGGAAAGCTCAGACGAGGATGCGTGCGATGCGTTCCATGTCCTCATGGAAAGATCAAGAGCCATTGTGCCAAGTGCAAAGACTGCGGACATGGGAAGCTCAAATATAACTGTTCTATTTGCGGCTTGGTTTCGCTCCGGAGATTTTTCACTGCATTCTTTGTTTGTTCTTGAAATGAATCATTCGACGATTCACTGTGGATTCACTGCAGCCAACTCTTGAGGCCTCTCAAAAAGGCTTGTTCCAAATCTCTTTGTGTCTCTGTGCAAGACTTTTGTTCCTGAAAGCAGTGAGCACACTGATGTCGGTGAGGGTCACATCGTGCCATGAACAATCGAAACCCGGGGAGTACTTGCAGTACATACTTATATAATCTTATATATATACACACCTTGTATTAGGTTGTTTGGTGGCCAAGGTGCTGGATGCCCCCACGGGCGGCTCAAGAAGAATTGCAAGCCTTGCAAGCAGAACTCACGCGGCACCAACCTAGCTTTCAACGCGAAGCAGTTTGTGGAAAGTGTGGAACAAATGGCGTCGAGCTCGCACGCGGTGTGTCTAGCAGCAAAAAACGGGTGTACGGTGTTGGGACTCCTGTTCCATGAGTCTTGGATGTTCCGAAACGCATCAGAGTTTGCATGAGGTTTGGGAACCTCTACCACTTTCACCTTCACATCTTGTGCCTTACACAACTCTTTTTGAAGCGGTCTTTTTGTGAAGCGGTATCTTTTGCTTCCTTTCTTCCTTTGTGACAAATCCTTAGAAGAAACGGCTTCTAACAAGCCACCCCACGAAACGTGAAACACCACGTTCGGCGCACCACCGCTCGTTCGACCGAGGTTCCCTGCGGCGCATCCACAGCAGCTCCAAGCTAAGGGAGTTTGGAGCTGAGAGAGGGAGGAGTGGAGGAGTTTGGTGCGCCTGGATGGCGCCTGGATGGGGGGTTCTGTTTCTTCTTTGGGAGATGCAGGTTCATGAACTCTTGTGGCAGTGTATGACGTGTATGGTCCATCGCAGCAGATTGGGCCGCTTTGACTCTTGTCTATAATGCCTATACTTATACAGAATACACTGCTGCAGCTTGACGACCATTGGTTATGAACGTCAGCACAGAACATTACCGTGGTGTCTACATAGTCTTGAATTTCAAGAAGAGGACACACTCGAACTACATGCAGTTTAAGGTTTTTCAATGGTTTTCTTGGGTATGGTCCGATTGGATGCCATTCGCTTTTGAGCCTTTTGTGCCTCTCTCGAAGCTGGGGCTCTCTTGACCGAAGACGATCCAAACAGCCCAGCGAATTCACAGGCCGCGTTGGAAGGGAAAAGGAGGGAAAAGGGGCCGGAACATGTTGAATCCTATCTGAAACTACTTTGCAGATGATGGAAACTAGCTTGTTAATGCTTGTTAGTTTTCATCCTTTCTTCTCTACCAAAGGCATCCAAAGTGGATTTTGGAGGATGTTCAGGGGTGAACCTTCACAGCCATGAACTTTCCATTCGAGATTCATCCCAGTAACCATCCTTCTTAAACGCGGGCCATGGAGCCAACCCCCAAGAAGTGGACAAGAGGCTGACAGGTTCTGAGAGAATCAGCAGAAAGCGATACCCCAAAGGCCTTGCTTCGGACCATTGCTCCTGACTTCGAAGGCAACATGGCCGAGGAGGCTGAGATTGAAATGCCGCCCCCTGGCTGAGAGCTTCGAAGGTAGCAAGATTTGCGAGGGGTACCAGATACCATGCCATTCTCAACACTTGAGGACCTCTCTCGGAGGAAATGGGATCCCCAACATCTGGTTCCACCCTCAGAATCCAGGCCCGAACCAAATGGGAAGGTCTTGGGGAAGGTCTTGGGGACCGGGTCCGTTGTCCCCCTTGTGTTTCGGTGGAGATGGTCAGACCCCAAACGCGTTTTGGGTGTCGGGCCCCAAGGTTCCGCCATCCGTCCTCCCAGGAGCCGCTTGCCGGGTGGTGGCCCAACAGGCAAGGCGCCCTTGGTGCGGGCGTTGCGCGCCCGCCAGCCGGATCTCAAGAAGGCACCGGCGCTGGGGGAGAGATCGATAAGATGGCGCAGTCTTTTCGGTGGGTCCCAAGAGTTGTCCACAGATGCATGACATTGGTGGGTCCGAACTCTTGAAAGCCAAGGATGCGTCCGATAATGTCGGAGATTGGATTGACGGATGTGATAAAGCCTGCCGATGCCCCGGCACGCACGTCCCAGACTCGAGGTGGCGTGTCTCTGGCTGGACCGTTTCCACTCGGAGAAGTATGGTGCTCTGGCCGAGCTCATTGGCCTGGTCATGGCCACTCGGAGTGGTCTGCGCAAGGTCGCGCGGGGTTGGTGCACGTCCTTCGGGGCGCGGGCGCGGTTTGGTCGGTCGTGCAGTCCGGTCATCCCGGTGATCGGCAGAGTGGTGTCGCAAGTGAAGGGTGGACCATCCCGGATGGTAATGCATGGAACACTCAAGAGCAACGACGTGACAATTTGCTGTTGTAATTATTCTTTTGAACATTGTTTGTGAGCTGCAGCAGACAGGCCAGAGGATCCGCTTTGGGGTTTGGGGTGATCCGTGTCAGAGGTGCCTTTGTGAAAGAGACATGGAACAAAACTGAAACTGGGTGCAACAGAATAGTGGTGAGTATTCCTGCAACCACAACATCTTGGTACTCCTTTGTGAAATCGTGACAACAATTGCTGGTCTAATTCAAGTCGCTTGGGGATTCATAAAGTGAGAGAAAAAAGACCCAGTGCTCACCAGCAGCTAGATAAGATAAGCCTTCTGCCCTTCCAGGGTTTGACTTCGGTGATCCTCTATAGGAGCTACATGGGCCAACCGGTATTTAATACCTCAAAA